CCACACACGCCACCTTGTTCTAATGTGACCAATGTTCAGGGCCCATTTATGAGGGAGAACATGCGATATTCTTTGTTTCTATGACATGCCCAGTTCTTTGTTGATATGACAGTCTACTTAGTATGATGACTCCATCCAATTGCTGCAAAGTCCTGATTTTGTTCTTCTTTGTGGCTGTGTAATACTCCATCATGTATATGTACCACATTTTCTTTATCCAGTCCACTTTTGATAGGCAGTAGTGTTGGTTCCATGTTTTTGTTATTGTGACTAGTGCAGCAATAAACACGCATGTGCTGGTGTCTTTTTTGTAGAACAATGTGTGTTCCTCTGGGTATATGTCCAGATGGGGGATTGCTGAATCATATGGAAGATCAATTTCTAGTCCCTTTAGATATCGCCACACTAATTTCCATTGCGGGTGGACTAGTTTGCACTATTACCAACAGTGCAGAAGCATCCCCTCGTCTCCACACTCATGCCAGCATCCATTGTTTTTGATTTATTAAGGATGGTCATCCTTACTGGGGTAAGATGGTATCTCATTATAGTTTTGATGTGCATTTCTCTGATGATTAGTAAGGTTGAGCATTTTTTCATGTGTCTGTTGGCTGCATGCATGTTGTCTTTTGAGAAGTGACTGTTCATGTCCTTTGCCCACTTTTTAATGGGGTTGTCTGTTTTGTTTTGTTTTTTTCCTTTTGCCTCATTTGAGTTCCTTCTAGATCCTGGATGTTAGGCCTTTGTCAGATAGATAATTAGTAAAAATCTTTCCCCATTCTATGGGTTGTCTCTTTACTCTCTTGATCGTTTCTTTTGCTGTGCAAAAGCTTTTCAGATTGATAAGGTCCCACTTGCCTATCTTGGCTTTTATGGTATTCGCTTCTGGGGACTTGGTCAAGAATTCGCTGCCTAATCCAATGTATATAATGGAGTTTCCTACATTTTCTTCCAGGATTCTTATAGCTTGAGGTTTTATGTTTAGGTCTTTGACCCATTTTGAGTTGATTTTTGTATATGGTGATAGGTAATGGTCCAGCTCCATTCTTCTGCATGTGTTTAGCCAGTTTTCCCAGCAACATTGGCTAAATGTGGTTGCCTTTCCCCAGTGATTGTTATTGATGAGTTTGTTGAAGATGAGTTGGTTGAGAGACTGTGTTTTTGATTCTGGAATCTTTGTCCTGTTCCATTGGCTTATATGTCTATTCTTGTACAAATACCAGGTTGTTTTGGCCACTGTAGCTTTATAATGAAGTTTAAAGTCTGGAAGTATGATACCTCTCAGTTAGTTTCGCCGAGGATTGTTTTGGCTATTCGTGCTCTTTTTTGTTTCCCATATGAAATTCTGTATTGTTGTTTCCAGGTCTGAGAAAAATGATGTTGGTAATTTGATGGGTGTCACACTGAATCTGTAGATTGCCTTGGGTAGGATTAACATCTTAACAATATTGATTTTCCTGATCCATGGGCATGGAATGTTTTTCCATTTTTTTGTGTCATCTTTGATTCCTTTGAGCAGCGTTTTGTAGTTCTCACTGTAAAGATCTTTCATTTCTCGGGGTAGGTGGATGCCAAGGTTTTTATATTGTGAATGAAATTTTGCTTTTTATTTGGTTCTCTGCCTGCTTGTTACTGATATATAGAAATGCAAGTCTTTTGCACATTGATTTTGTACCCGAAGACTTTAACCCAAGTTGATTGTCAGTGTGAGGAGGCTTTTGACAGACTCTAGCGTTTTCCAGATATAGTATCATATGGTCTGCAAAGAGGGTTAGCTTGTTTAACTTTCTCTTTTCCTATTTGGATACTCCTAATTTTCTTCTCTTGCCTGATTGCTTTTGCCAGAACTTCCATCACTATGTGGAACAGGAGAGGTGAGAGTGGCATCCTTGTCTAATCCCCATTCTCAGGAGGAATGCTCCCAACTTCTGCCCATTGAGCAGAATGTTGGCTGTGAGTTTATTATAGGTGACTCTCACTGATTTGAGGAATGTTCCTTCTGTGTCTAGGTGCTTAAGGGTCTTTATCAAGAAGGGATGCTGAATTTTATTGAACGCTTTTTCTGCATCTAAGGATATAATCATGTGACTCTTGGTTTAACATCTGTTAATGTGCTGAATTACGTTTATGGTCTAGTGAATGTTGAACCAGCCCTGCATCCCAGGAATAAGCCCACGTGGTCATGGTGGATGATCTTTGAGATGTATTGTTGGATCCAATTTGCTAGAATCTTCTTGAGAATTATCACATCTATGTTCATCAAGCAGATTCGCCTGTAATTCTCTTTCACTTTTGGGGTCTTTGCCAGGTTTGGGTATTCGTATGATGTTGGCTTTATACAATGAGTTGGGGAGATATCCATCATTCTCGATTGCCTGGTATATTGTCAAAAAGATTGCTCCTTGTATGTCTTGCAGAATTCAGGTGGAAACCATCTGGTTTGGGGCCTTTTGTGGTGGGGGAATTTCTTCTTCTGACTGAGTCAATTTCCTAGATTGTTGTTGGTCTGTTTAGAGTTTCAATTTCTTCTTGTTTCAACCTTGGGAGGTTGTGTGATGTCAGAAAATCCTCCATTTCTTTTAGGTTTTCTAGTTTGTTTGCATATAGGTATGCATAGTAACCCCTGAAAAGCTTTTTAATTTTTTCAGGGTCAGTTGTGACTTTGCCTTTTGCATTTCTAATTGTGTTTATTTGGATTTTCTCTTTTTTTTTTTTAGTCAATCTGGCCAGAGGAGGGTCAATATTATTTATCCTTTTAAAGAACCAGTTTTTTGTTTGGTTAATCCTTTCTATGATATTTTTGTCTTCTATATCCTGCAACTGTGATTTTATCTTGAAGATCTGGATGCGTCTGCTGAAGTTAGGATTTATGTGATCTTGCCTTTCCGGATCCTTCTGGTATGGCATCAGGCTGTTTACTTGATCTTTCTGTCTTCTTGACATGTGCGTGCAATGCTTTGAATTTTCCTCTTAACACTGATTTCACGGCATCCCCAAGGTTCTGATGTGTCTTTGTTTTCACTTGTTTCTCTCTTGATTTTTGTGTTGTCCCAGAAGTCGTTCCACAGCATGTTGTTTTGTGTGTTTGGGGGGGATCTTGTGGGTGGCAGTATTTATTTTTGTTCCACTGTGATCCGACACGATGCACGGTATTATTTCCATCTTTGGTTATTGGATGCTCTGAAGCTATTAGATGACCCCCGTTCTAGGGTCCATTTGGGGATTCAGTCCGTGTCCCCTCGCGTCACCTTGTGGCCGACTTCTGTCACTGCAGATTCTCTCTCCTGCGGCTGGAGCCCTTGGGGCGGGATGGGGGGATGCGGGGGTGGGGGATGGGAGGTGCTTTATGGCATTACCCATTTTCAAGATTTATTATAAAGCCATAATAATGAAGAGAACGCATCCTTAGATACAGAACATGCAAATAAGTCAATGAAACAGAACAGGAAGGACAGACGTACACCCACACATGGACGCTTGACTGATTTTTAGCAAAGGTCCCAAGGTGCCAAATGGAGAATGGATGGTCTTTTAAACAAATGTGGCTGGAGCAACTAGAAATTCGTGTGCAAAAGAAGTGAATTAACATCCATGCATTGTACTATAGCCAAAATTAACTTTAAATGCATCCGTAGCTCAATATAAAACCTTAATTTTAAAAAGTTACAGAGGAAAATATGTGTGGATTTGGTTTAGACAAAGATATCAGATAAGACCTATGTAGCGTAACCACATAAGAAAAACACACGGCTGAATAATTTGTGGCTCTTTCTAATACGGCTGGGGAGACGGTGCACAGCAGCCGGGTCACCCGCAGGCGGGCCCAACCCGCCCTGAGTTGGCCACCAGCCCTGCAGGAAGCCGCGCTCACGGGGTCTGGCCCAGCGGGGGTCTTTGTGCCGGTCCACCTGGGCTGCCACTCCACCTGTGCCGAGTTGTCTGGTTGTCTGGTGACCCGTCCTGGAATGCTCGGGGCAGGTGGGTAGCCGCCCAGAGCAAAAGAGCCTGGAAACTGAGGTGGGTGCAGATGTGGGCTCTGGACTGGCTGGTTTGCTTATTTACTGCATATCTGGAAATGAGCTGCCCTGCAAAGGCAGTCCCTCCAGAGTCAGCAAGGCCCCGGAAGGTCAGAGGGTCAGAATGCAGAATGCAAAGGACATGAACCGTACGGCACCCATGACATTTGGGCCCTCACTTCTTGTGTGGGGAGCAGGGCACTCTCCTGTGCCCCGTAGAATGTTGAACAGCATCATTGACCCCTACTCAGATGCCATGGCAGCACCACAAGTTGTGACAGCCAAAAATGCCACCAGCCATTGACCCTGTCCCCCGGTGAAGAAAATCATCGCCAGTTGAGAACCATTGCTTTAAGGTTTAAAAAAAAAATCACAGCATTGAAATAACGGGTCACAGATCTGAGCTGGCTGGTCAAGAGATCCCTTTGGGATCAGTGCTGATAAAATGTGAATGGAGTCCTAAAAGTCCCTGTGAGATAACAGGTCAAGCATGGTTAAAGTGAAAGGTTGGGGGGTGGAGGGATGTGAAGTTGGGGCCAAGGTGAAACCTGGAGGGACGTTTGTCTGGGCAGAACCAAAGTGATCAGAAACAGCCGTCTTTGGAGTTGAGGAGATCGGGAGAAAAATAGGAACTACTGTCTTGCTCTGTGGCCCAGACACTTAGCCGTGAAACCTCCTTGTAGCTCTGGGAAACTGAGATTGGTGCGTTAGAGGGGTCGTCAGTGTCCACAGGGAAGTTCCTTAGTCAGACGGCAAGGTCATAGTTTCTAGGGAAAGACTTTACTTCCGGTACCAAAGGGACAATTAGGAGTCAGGCTAATCGATGGTCTAATTAGTAGAACAGAGTTCAAAATAGAGAGCAGAGTCAGCAAAGAAACAGGAATAGGCAAAGGAGAGAGCGGTCACGAGTCCCATCGCCAACACTACAGAGTGGAGAGCCACTTTTCACAACACCTTTCATCCACCTCTCTTCTTACTTCCAAGTTCCTTTATGTCGCTCGAAATGCCAAAGACTGTATGGTTTCCTACTACCATTTTCAAAGAATGAATCAAGTGCTTCCTGACCCTGGAACCTGGGAAGAGTACTTTGAAGCCTTCATCAATGGAGAAGGTAAGGGGAAACCCTTCCCAGCCTTGCATTCTCGCTCCAGCTAGCATGAGTCGAGGGCATCACACTTAACCTCTGGATACCCTAGAATGGCGCGTGCCTCTTGGGACATTACCTACCACAGGCTGGGACTGGATGAAGCAGCCTGGCTGCTTTGGCAGTGTCTATCCACAGCCCTCAGCAGACGTCTTCCACCCCATGCAAAAGCCTGTATTAAGCTGGGCTCGGTGGCTCAGCCTGTAATCCCACGCTTTGGGAGGCTGAGGTGAGTGGATTGCCTGAGCCCGTGGGTTCGAGACCCGCCTGGGCAACTTGGCAAGACCTCATCTCTACAATAAATCCAAAAATTAGCCGGGCGTGGTAGCGCGCACCTGTAGTTCCAGCTACTTGGAAGGCTGAGGCGGAAGGATCGCCAGAGCCCAGCAGGTCGAGACTGTGGTGGCCGGGAGCGGCAACTGCACTCCGGTCTGGGTGACAGAGTGAGACTCCAACTCAAAAAAAAAAGCCTTTATTCTGGGTCATGTGACCTGTAGAGCCATTCCTTCGAAGGGCATCCTTGTCCCCCATGTGATTACATATCATAAACGAAGTCGCTTTAAGTAGCACATTGGGGCAAATAACCCCAAGGCTGTCCCAATCCACATTGCCCTCAAAAGCTATCAGAGAGGACCCTTAGGACTTATTTAATGAAGCATGTGTTTTTTTCTCTCTCCAATGCACTTCAGGGACATGAAATCCTTAACTCTCAAGCTTTTATGATCCCTTTGTAGACCGTTCTTTTTCCTGTGTGTTTCAGTGGCTTGGGGTTCCTGGTTTGACCACGTGAAAGGGTGGTGGGAGCTGAAAGACAGATACCAGATTCTCTTCCTCTTCTACGAGGACATCAAAAGGGTGAGTCAAGGCCCTTCAAATGCCCCGCTTCAGACCCAGGTGCAAGGAATTCAAGGAATGTCCCAAAGAATCGATGTGTGTCTTTTTGATACTCACATCCATTCCAACCCAACGTTAACCTCGTCACAGGATCCCAAGCACGAAATTCAGAAGGTGATGCAGTTCATGGGGAAGCACTTGGATGAAGCAGTGCTCGACACGATTGTTCTGGAGACGTCATTTGAGAAAATGAAGGAAAACCCCATGACGAATCGTTCTACGGTTCCCAAATCTATCCTGGACCAGTCCATTTCCCCCTTCATGAGAAAAGGTTTGTGGGGCCTCTTTATGAAGTACTCAGCCTGTCTTGTAACGTTCTGCCTGCCTCCTAGCAAGGCGATATTGTGTTTTATTAATTCCCATATTGTGTTTTATTAATAGGAGCATATTAATTTTATGATACTCATAATCATCTGTTTCTAATAAGACTAGGGACTTGATCCTGCCCTAGAAGAGTGAGCTCTGGGGTATTGCTCCAGGATGGGGTGCAAGAAACAGAGAGACCCGGAAGCTAGTCCCGAGGCAAGGGATTGTTGTGAGGATTCCATGGAGAGCAAAGGAAATGGAGTCTTGGAGATAACGAGGAGGAGAAGCCACTCTCGGTCCAGACCTCGCAGGGGTCCCGGGTCTAAGGGTCCCGGCCTAAGCGGCAGTAGGCGTGGTTCTTTCTCGAAGGCTCCACCACTTCCAGGGTCAGCTGCTGTCCACATATCAGCTATGCATGTCTTCCTCCACTTACCAGCTTCCGTGTCTCCACCCGCTGGACGTTTTCCTACTTTGCAGCTTCTGATGACTCCCTTTGTGCTCATAACTTGGGCTTGACCGTGGCCCAAACCTGCTCTGCATCATGATTGTCAACCACAACTACTCTTGAGAACTGTCTCGCCTTTTCAATATGTCTTAATTTCCGTTCCCAAAAGAGGAATTATAAACGGCATACCTAATTTTTTTTTTTTTTGAATTGCAGTCTCACTCTGTCGCCCAGGCTGGAGTACAGTGGCACACTCATGGCCACCCCAGCGTTGACCTGCTGGGCTCCGGCGATCTTTCCGCCTCAGCCTTCCAAGTAGCCAGTGAACGCTGCCGTGCCCGGCAAATTTTAGATTTATTGTAGAAATTAGGTCTCACCCAGTTGCCCAGGCTGGTCTCGAACCCGTGGGCTCAGGCAATCTACTCGCCTCGGCCTCCCAAAGAGCTGGGATTACAGGCTGAGCTACCAAGCCTGGACACCTAATATTTTTGAAGAAAAAACACTTCATCATTTTCTCATTTAAAGAGCCATACATGTCACTGTTTAAAAAAAAAATTAAATTGGTCCAGGAGTGATGGCTCACATCTATAGTCTATAGGACTTTGTGAGGGCAAGGTAGGAAGATACTTGAGCCAGGAGTTCCAGACCAGCCTGGGCAATCTAGCAAGACCTCTTCCCTACAAAGAAAATTTTTTTAATTGTTCAGGCATGGTGGCATGCACCTATAGTGGGAAGCTGAGACAAGAGGATCACTTGAGCCCAAGAAGAGATTAAGACTGCAATAAGCCAAGATCAGGCCACTGCACTCCAGACTCGGCAACTAGATACTATCTCTAAAAAAAAAATTAAGACATATAAAATTCTATTTTTAAAAAAATCTTTCCACCAGAACCCTACTCTCAAGAAATAACTACCAACAATATGGAAGTCCCTTCCCTCTCTGTTTGATAAAGATATACTTTCTACAACAGTGGAAAACTGCTTTCTAATATCTTTTCTTCCTCCTTTTTTTTTTTTGCAAGTATCTAAATTTGTTTCATTGAATTTTCCAATCTACAACAGCATTCCATGCTAATAAAATAAGCCAAATAATTCTCTTTCTCTTATCTTTGGGTAATCACTGTCGATGATTCTGCGAGGATCCCTTCTTTAGACCTATACAAATGCACCTGTCTACACAGGCTCCTTCCTCGGGCTCATGCAAGCACAAAGTTACCTTGATGAGAGCTCTCTCTCTAAAACACAAAACGTGGTCGTATTTTACACATTCACTTACCAGAATCTGAGACATCCCTCCAGGGCAAGGAGTGTAGATTCATGTACCCCACTGATTTGAGTGGCCCCAGGTTACACCAAGGTATTTCTCTATAGATAGATACTATGGTTGTTGTTTTCAATTTATGGCTCTATGAATATCTTGGCACATGAGTTATGCATTCCTGATGTTTTTATTTCTGTTGTATAATTTTCCAGAGGAAGCACTGATGAGACAAAGAATAGATTCCTATTTAAAATTAGTTTAAGTTACTCCTCGGTTAAAAATAGTATCTTATTCATATTTTCCCCAAATTATTTGTTACTGAGGTACAATCTGCATAGCAAAAGCACACAGATCTTAAGGGCGCAGTTCTACACGTTTATATAAATATATACACCCATGCCACTAGCACACCAATCAAGATACCAAATATTTTCACCACCCTAGAGAGTTTCCTCTCATGCCCCTTTCTAGTAATCTCTAGCCCCGGAGACAACCGCTGTTCTAATTTCTGTCACTGCAGATTGATCGCACCTGTCCTTGGACTTCACATAAATGGAATCCCACAGAATGTGCTTTCTTGTATCTTGTGTCTTTTGCTCAGTATAATGTTTTGAGATTCCTCTGGGTGGTGGCTTGTCTGTGGTTCACTCCTTTTCATGCCTGGGTAGTAATCCATAGTGTGAATATACTACAGGTCTAGCCAGGGCATGCCAGTTCGCTAGGTCCCTTGGGTCAGTTATCCAGCTGATTTAGATGCCCATACCCCTGCACAGAGCCCCAGGGATGTTTCTCAGAGCAGAGAGCTACAGGTGGGCAGGTGTCCCTGAAAGAGGACTTGTGGGTGGTCAGCACGTGGACAGCCCAGGTTCAGTGTGGGCCCTCAACTGCTTTACTCGGGGCCACCAAGTCTTTCCATCAGAGAGTGACACTCCTGTCTGAACTTCTCTCTTCTAGGAACTGTGGGGGATTGGAAAAACCATTTCACTGTGGCCCAGAATGAGAGGTTCGATGAAATCTACCGAAAAAAGATGGAAGGCAGCTCCATAAACTTCTGCCTGGATCTCTAAGCAGGACTGAATAAAATACAAGGGTGGAGGGCAGGAATGCAGATGCTGTCTTCAATCCTTCTGTATCAGCCAAAAGAATCCCTGAAAGCACATTGTAAACATATGCAACATGATACAAACCATCTCTGTGATCACTAACGGCATGCTACCACAAATACCTGTTTTCTCATCTATCCTTTCCAAAGTAAGAAATAAAATAGCTTAATAAACTAAGTAGAATATAAGATTCAAATACTTTCATACAATGTCATAATACCTTGCCTGTAAGTACAGATATTAGATTATAGCTTTATTGATAACACAAACTTTCTAACATCTGTCCTGGCCATTCAGGGAACGGCAAAAGGGGCTTGATCCTGGGGATACTTCTAGGGCAACCCTGGTGCAGTCAGTCCTGAGGAAACATGGTCTGAGTGCCCTTGCTGTGGGTAGGGAGTAAAACAGAAGGGCACAGAGATGTCAGAAAACCAGTACCTGATTACACGAGTCCTGGCGCTAGGGGGTGTAGGAAACAGAACGCATGAGGCGGCCTTTGGAGAGCCCAAGTTGCATCCTGGTGAAAGCAGAAAACAGGAGACGGAACTGGTGTCAACAGTGTCAGCCTGAATGTGGCAGGCAATAGGGTCTCGGCTTCAGGGATATCCTTTCAGGAAGCCCCTGACCAAGCTAGGCGCTCTTTGTCCCGGCTTCAGGGGGATGCCCTGACCAAGCTTGGCCGTCTTTGTCCCAGCTTCCCATGTTTATCCCAGCTGTAGCCTTGTGGCTCTGCGTTTACTTGTCAATGTCTTTTCTGTGCGTCCCACTGGAGTGTGAGTTCTTTGGGGTTCAGTTTCGTGTCTCCTTTACTCTCAGGACTCAGTGTAGTGCCTGGCACACAACCTGTGCCCAGGAAGAGCGGTCAGACAAATGAACAAATGTGTGGATAAATGACTATGACAAACCAGAATTTCCCAACTGTGACCCTTTTCCTTTAGTCCCCAACAGTGCCTTTCCGAATCTGAAGGCGGCAGAGCCAGTTTACCCCAGGAGCAGGGATTCAGAGGCTGCATCCAGCCCCCTAAAATTCTGGGTGCCTTTTGTTATCTCGACATACTGGCAATTCTCAACAATGTCAGTGATGAGAAGAAAGAAACTCCTGTTGGTCTAAGTTCTAAGTAATTGTTGGGTTGCTACTGAGTTTTAACCATAGGTATATAAGCTTCAAATAAGCACATTTTTAATGTGGCAAAGAAAAAGAAAAAAGCGGTCTGTGTCCCTACTAGATTGTGAATGCTTGTTGGTTCCACGTCGTATTCACCTTTGTGTGGAAGTGGATTCAGAGATCCCATAACTCAGAGAACGCAGTCCGCCTATGGGTGTTCCTGCTTAAATACCAGATTCAGCATAAATGGTGGTAGCCAACCAACAGTGATGGTAAGGAAGAGAAGCAGACCTTGAGCTTCTTCAGTTCTGTCATTCTCTGTGACCACTTGGAGTTTCCACTTATATTCAGAATATGAAACAGTCAAATTTGAAAGACTGTAAGCTGCAGGGTGTAATATTTTTGACTGGTAATATTTTTGACTAGTAAGCACTAAGTTGTGTTTATACAGGAATCGTTTGCTGATTTTGAATAACTTTAAAATTGAAATTTATTCTTTTCTAAGGGCTAATTATTTGTTTTAAAACTCAGGAATGAAAAAAATTCAGGAATGAATCAAGAAAATGAAGCTTTCCATCAGCAGCTGTCCGATTTGTGTTTTTTAGAGACATTTTCGTTTGAGTAAAATGGACTTATTCTGATTCTTTTTACTGGCATGAGTCTGTACACAAAGTTGAATAAAAGGAAAGCTTCATTGACTTTTCTTTACTAACCAGTATTATTATTATGTGTCTCTATTAATGATTGATACTAAAGATAATTTTGTTATACAGTGAAGAAAGATGGTTAGAAAAAAAATGGTTGACCCTCGGGTCAGCTATGGTCCCATCTCACAAACTACATTCTGATTTGTTGGTTGGCTTGTTGCTTGGTCTTTTTCAAGGAGTGATTATCCAATGACTCGTTAAGGCAGAGTAAGGAAGACTTTATTCGGAACTATCTCAGCAGTACAGGAACCACAGCAATGGCGTCCCAGCAGAGGAGAGATATTGGGTTCAACTCCATATAGCATGGGCTAGCAGGTGTGTACAGCTACGCAGCCAGGAGGAGACCAGGAGGTGCAAACATTAGGGTCATTGGAGGAGGAGGAGGGTCCTGGCTAAATTTGCCTAACAGGATTCCTGCTGAAGACAGACCAGGGTGCTCGGGCATTATCTGGACGATGCTGGTGTACAGAGAGCCTAATCAAATGTTGAAGGGGGGGAGTTCTTGCTAAATTGGCTTAGCAGTTTCCTTGGAAAGCCTGGGTTTTACAAGGAAATGCACGGATGGGCTTAGGAGACGTTGCAGAAGCCTGTTTGGCAGACAAAGAATGTGAACTGCAAGGTGTAACATTTTTGATTAGTAAGCACAATGTTGTGTTTATATGGGAGTCGTTTGCTGATTTTGGAATACTAGCTTTAAAATTGAAACTTACTCTTTTCTGAGGGTTAGACTCTTTCTCCTTCTTTGTCCCTCACTATCTCAGAACCAACACAGCAACTGTGAGGTTTAGTATGTCGAAGGGTTTTGAAGCTTCGTGCCATGAGATTACATGGGGCTGTGGGTCTTTAAACCTACAGATCACATCTACGTTCAGGCCTCTAACAGCCAGCGGAAACTACATGCCGCCAGGAACACATGAGAGTCCAGGCCGAGGTGGAGGGCCACCACGATGGCAAAGCCCAGCCTTTTGCACCTTGACCCGTCCTTCGCAGTTCAAGCAAACACAGGAGCAGAAACACAAGATACAAAACCAGCCCCCGGGGTTTAATATTTAGGCAAAAGCTGAGGGGGGAGCTCAGCATGTCCTCTCCCCGCGCCTGTGTGTGCCAACAGCCCAAAAGGAACCATCGCAAGATGCTGCTTTTCTCCTAGAGTCACAGCCCTCCTTCCTTCACTTATGTATTTATTTATTCATTCTCCATCGACACCCCCTGTGTCAGGCACTGTGCAAATAACGGAGACACACGGTGGGCAAAGCCTTCTGCCGTATTGTGCAGGCTAGTGTGTGAAACAAATGTCCGTGAAGTCATGACACACCCATCGAGGAGAAGCCATGACCAGACCAGCTGTGGCTAGGGCTTGGGGGACAGCTTTCCCGAGGGAGATGTTCCTTCCCGTGTGCGGAAGCACATGCTGGCTTTAACCAGGAGAGAGGCTGGGCAGAGAGAAGGAGACCCAGGAACAGTCTCATGGTGGCGAGGGCGTGGTGCCTGTTGGAGGACTAGAAGGAAGGGTGGTGAGGGCCAGAGCAGGCGCTCAAGAGAGAACCAGAAGGTGGGGGTTCTACGGGGCCTCGATGGCCATGGCAGAACGTAAGTCTACCCTAGGAGCAGTTGGAAGCCCCTGAAGCCTGCAGGAAAAACAGCGACACCCTCAGGCTGGCATTTCAGTCTGCCTCCTGTGGCTAGACCCAGGCAGAATGTGGGTGGGCACAGCACCGGTCCAGAGGGCCAGGGAGTGGCCGAGGGCATGGAATCTTTCAGGGTTCAGGTAAAAGGTAGAAAGCTGGCCTCCTCCCTTGGCCCCTGCCATCTGGCTACAAAAGGGGAAGGGGAGATTTAAGACTGATGAGGAGGATACCCATTCTCTGCTGAATATCTTTTTCTGAAAAAAAGAGTCAGGAGCGGGGCTAGCAAGATGGCGACAGAACCCGCCAGAGCGTGAGCCTCTGCGTGGGTAAGTGTGCCTAAGGACAAATCTGCACGCGTGTGTGTGTGTGCGCGCGAGTGGGTAAGCGAATGTCTGACGGAGAGGAGACACACGATCGAGCACATGGGGCTCCCCTGCAGAAGCAGCTGAAATTTACTACTGTTCTGAATTCTCCCCTCCCCACGGAGAAACATCCACCGTTCTCAGGGCATCGCTCGGGAAAAGGCAGCAGAGATCAGCCGCCCCTTGGCACCTGGTACCCAGCCCACACCACCACCTATGGCAACAGGCCAATCACTGGCAACAGGGACCATGGAGAAGGTGCAGGGAGGAAACCTGGAGCTGAGCCCCACCAGAGGAGAAGACATGGATGGATGTCATTTTATCTGTCCAGGAACCTGGACAGAGACCTGATTTAGCTCCCCCAATCCCGACCAGCCTGCATACGGAGAACAAGGGGCGATCTCCACATCCCTCTGGGATCAACCACCGCTGACCCAGAGAGGACACTCCAAGGGCACGATATCGGAGAGCATCTCCCTACCCCCCCCACTGGACCATAGATGTGTGCAACCAGAGTGGTAGACCTAGCAGCAGAGGGGTTGAGGTGAGGTTTGATCTGATTCAGCTCCCAGCCTCCAGCAGTCCCTGGAACATCGGACTCATGTGAAGAGCAACCTGATTGGCCCACCCTGAGAGCAGGGTGGAGGGCTCAGATGCCAAAGTCGGCTCCCTACCATGGTGGCCAGAAGCGGTGGTGCTTGGGACACACCAGCGAAAGAAAGAAAGAGAGAAAGAGAGAAAGAAAGAAAGAAAGGAAGGAAGGAAGGAAGGAAGGAAGAGAGAAGGTGCATAACATCAGTAAGGGTGCCTGACCCTAATTTAGGTTAAATGAGGTCCAATGGGAGACTCAAAACTTTACCTGTCAGCAGACCATTTGTATACCCAATCCCGACTTGCACTCCACATCTTTAAAATAAAATAAAATACGTTTTTAACCTCCCCCTAAAAAAAGACTCAGGGGCTTGCTTGGTCACTCAGGCTGGAGTGCAGTTGTGCAATCATAGCTCACTGCAGCCTCGAACTCCTGGCCTCAGGCGATCCTTCCACCTCAGCTTCCTGAGTAGCAGGGACTACAGGTGTGTGCCACTACACCTGGCTAGATTTTTTAAAATTTTTTTGTATAAGCAAGGTCTCACCATGTAGTACAGATTACTCTTGAATTCATGGGCTCAAGCATCCTTCCGCCTCAGTCCCGCAAGTGCTGGAATTACAGACATGAGCCACCATGCCAGGGCCTTTTTCATTTTAATTGCAGAGACATTTCTCTAGTGCCAACTGTACGAGGTACCATTGAAGATTCATAGGAAGAACAGA